GTGTCGGGCGAAGTCCTGCGAATTCGATGTGCGACTGCCAGGCCAGCGTCGAGACGTTTGAGCCAAGCCAAAGACCACTGCCCAGCAGCAGCCTCGCCAAAGATGGTCGCCAGCAAGTATGGCGGGGTGAACGTGAACATTGCTTGCGACCAGGTCCTGTGCAATGAGAGAGAAATCGGTAGGCCCGAGAGCGCTTAGTTAGATGGCATGTTCCCAGCTCCTGGCTGCAGCCAGCTCCAGAAGCACGAGCCATGCCTCCTCCAAGATTGCGGCGTCTCTTTGCACCCATTCCTCGTCCATTGCAGCAGGTCGGTGCCCATGCCAAACACTCACCGTGAGCTCTTGCAAGAAGTTCGTAGAATGAATTTTTCCCAACGTGGACTGGACGGTGCGAAACCAAGAGCCAGCGCTTCTGCCGGCAGTCCACTCCAGTTGAATCGCCTTCCATGGTTTATACACCGGGCACACTGTTTCACAGGGGGTAAAATTTTGTGGACATGCTACCGCGCCATGAGACATGCCCAGGGCCTGCCCCTGCTTTTGCTGCTGCAGATTGTTGTAGAACTCCTTGGACACATCCTCGCTGCAGAGGGCCAGCATCTTGATTCGCACCTGTAGTTGCCTTTGCTGGGTGGACACGTATGGTCAGCAGCACAGCAGCAAAAGAAGCAGCAGCACTAGCAGAGCAGTAACATTCCACTGTTCAGCTACAGAACACACAGCACCGGCACGCAGACCAGGTGCCGATCTTGGTAAAGTGTGGCGCACAGCTGGACATTGTTCTTGAACTTGCTGCGCCAATTCTGGAATTCGGCCCTGGTCGTGGGCTCGTCGGGATCCTCGTCTTCCGCCGGAGGCGCTTCCGGTTCGAACTCCTCGTCCATTTGCTCCTTATAAAGCCGAATGCAGCTTTGCGGCGGCAACAACTCCAAGATTCTTGATAAGCCAAGGGGCCGCAGCCAAAGCTGTCATGATCTCGGAAGAGATTGTCCATTCCCGGCTTAGGGAAAGGCATCTTTCAGTCAGACCAAACCAGCCTTTGCCCCGTATCTTAGTCAGGCATGATGGCACTGGATTCGCGTCTTGCTGAGGCGACTGCGCATAACACAAGCAAGGTGCGTAAATGCCTCTTTTTTTGATGGCATCAGCATCCGCCCATTGCTGGATGTGCTCCGGCAAGTCAGAAGGATCAACTTCATAGCCCAAGTCATACCACATGGCGTCGGCCAGTTCAGCCCATTTCGCCTCATCGCCCGCATGCGTGCGGATGTACTCAGCAGCTGCTTCCTGCTTCCCCAACCATGTTGTACCCGACAAGTACCTTGGTAGCTTAAAGTGTCCCTCGCATCGTGTGGGAGCGCACGCAAGTCTGGGTGTGCGGCGGGCCATGTGAAGTGGTGGAAAGGATCGTAGCTTTGAGCATGGTGAGGCTCTGGCTTGCACGAACAAAAGCATTCCCTGCAAAAGTATGGAGCACTGGCGCAACGCAGGAGGTCGAGTCATGAGATGTCAGTTATATCCCTGGCGCATGATATGCAGCTGCGGCGCTGCAATCATTCCAGCTAGGGTGAGCGCTGTCCGGCTCAAAATAGCAGCGGATGATTCCGGCCAGGAGCTTGTAGGCTTTCACACCGACTTTCTCCTGGTCTGCAACCTGACTGTAAATGAACTGAGTTTTCGTCGACGGCAAAAGAGACGATGCCTAGACTAGATGATAGCCAGGTCACTCCCTTCAAGAGCGGGCGGTGTCTGGGATAAGCAGGCTGCAGCGGGATTCGATCGGTCGTGTACTCCAATTTCTGGACTGGCTTGAAATATTCTAGAGCTCTGCCCGTGGTGCTGAGAAGATTCGTGTTCAGTGCTCTCAGCATGACCTGTCAGGTCTGACAGTTACACAACGTCACCAGCCTCCGCGACTTACCCTGCCCGCCTGGACGTGCCTGAGGTTATGCTTCGTCTTGCGGACTTGGTTGCCATCTTCATTCCTGGCAGACTAGAGGCTCAAGTGTTGGGTTCAGTATGGTACTTGGGCACAGTGTTCTGGACTTGGGGTTGGCGCTTGCCTCCGAATTTGATGCTTAGCTTCTTTGGCTTGGACCCAGACTCCTAAGTTAAGCAGTTAAGCCTGTGTTTCGCTTGCTTAATCGACAAGACTGACTCCATTCGACTTTGATTCAACAAGACGGCAACCCTGAAAACAAACTCCAAGTGCTCCAAGGCCCCCTTTTACGAAGCCAAGCAAACCTGAACCCTATTCCACAAGCTAAGGCCCCGTCTCAACTGCGCCCGCTCGCTGCGCAGAGAACTTCGCACTGTGCTCAGACAGCTTGGTCAAGGACTCGGCGGAGGGGAGCTGTTTGGATTTCTAGAACATCGGCAAACGTCAACTGCCCAAGCAACCGCCTGCGCCTGTTTTCGTTTGTCTGCGTTGTGCATGACTAGTCAGACGTTGCGCGTGTGCCCGCGCTGTCCTAGGTAGGCATCGGCCGTGTCCGACATTCCAGTGCACTAGTCGAGGTCCCTATCTTGTGAACTTGCTCCGAGGAAATTAAAGGTGCACGGAGGATGCGGAGAAGCCTTTTGAAGAATCCAAAAATGGAAAACACAGTCCTGATGACGTAGCAGAGCGGATCCTGATCAGCCTAGTGCTCTCGCTCGCAATCAGCAGTTCAAATGCTGGGCACCAGTTACTCGGCCTAGAACTACACACACGGCGAGCTAAGGCTTCTAGGCTTTCCAGGGAATCAAAATGCTGTAGCTTCCCAGGACTGATCGCGGGCCGGACATCACTTCGGCGCCGGCATCTTCACTTCCTCCACGACAGCCTGGGCGATGAGCGTCGAGGTGGCGGGTCCGCCGAGCAGTAGTTCTTCGACTAGAGTCTATAGAGTCTAGGCTTTTCAGTCTGGGTTTGGGTTGGGGCGTGGGTTTAGGCTAATGGTTTTGGTTGAACCTCGCTGTTTACGAAAAATCCTCAGCGGTCAATACAGTTGTTTGGGTTTCGGGAGTTGTGCTTCGCATCGACCTCTATAAAGTGTGCAGGGCTATGCTTCGCTAACACAATGTAATGTTGTACCTGATCATAGCGGAGCACTGCAAACAAAGAGCAAAGAGGCCGAGCACTGCAAACGGCATTTTGTTCAGAGCAGGCAGAGACAAGCCGAGCTGATGAAATCCAGGTGGAGGGGCAGCTGTGTCTGCACCCTAAGCTACTGGTCGTTCAGAATCAGCCGAATCCGCTTCTTGGCGTTGCCGCGACTGGAGCTCCGGCGGTTGCGTGGATTTGATGCAGTTGTCGTAGAGGGTCTGGAGGATTCTGCCCGGGACGACTCAGCCGCTGCAGCTTCCAGACCGGGTGTGGGGTCCTCTCCGAAAAGTCGGTTAGAGTCTATTTCTGCCTCGAATTCAGCCTCGCTGCGTGGGTTTGATGCAGTTGTCGTGGTAGAAGGCCTGGAGGGTCCCGTCCGAAACGACTCAGCTGCTGGCAGACGGGGTTCGCGATCCGGTCCGAAAAGTCGATTGAAATGTGCCTCGTGCTCAGCCTGATCGGCTGCGCACGCAGCTGCTATCCGGGCCATCATCGCCTCGTTGCGTTCTTCATCTGGCGGTGTGTCTCTGAGATCGACATTGCTTGCCGAGTCCAGCTGGTCCGCAGGCATCTCAGAAATGTTGACAACGAGTCCGGGGAGGAACCGTCCATGCATCGGAAGTCGGACCTGTATCAAACCTGAGTAGCCCAAAGCAGCGGCTACGCCCTCAGCAACACGGACCTCCGACTGGCTCGGTGGAGGAGGAGGGGGCCCACGAGGTCCACTACGATCAACCACGTCAGACGGCACTGGAGAATCCGGCTCCCCATCTGATCCATCATACTGACTTGAGATGTCTGACATCTCTGCTCTAAACTGCACCTGCCGCTTCTGAGCCCAACCTAAGCAGAAGTAAGCCCATGTATCATTCATGTATCTGACAGATCATACCCAGGCAGTCACAACCAGCAAAGGCCAGGCAGTCGTGGGTACGAAAGTCCTGCTCCCGAAAACCACGAGAGAAGGTTATCTACAATACTATTGACTATTGGCATAATTAATAGACAAGGGGCGGTTGTCTTTGCTTTCGGAGGCGGCTCGGGGACGTGCTGTCCGGCCTTACCTGGAATCGACGGACCTTTGCCTGATGGGGTTGGATTCGATGCTCCAGGCACTGGGGCTGCCTTAGGACTCTCGGTTGCCTTGGGAGTTCCCGTCTTGGGGGCCTGGGTTGGCACAGCTGCTTTCACTGGCGGGGTTGCCTTGGGAGTTCCCATCACGTCGGGGGCATCGATTGGCACGGTTGCTTTCGCTGGAGGGGCTGCCTTGGGAGTTCCCGTCGCGTTGGGGGCTTCGGTTGGCACGGTTGCTTCAGGCGTCAAGGTTGCGTTAGGAGTCTCACTTGGCACCGGATCGGGGTTTGCCTCAGTTGCTTCCGCAGGAGGCACTGGGGGTGGGACTTTGGCATCAGGGGGTGGGGCTGCCTTTGGGGTGCTAGGCGGCGCTGGCAGCGTGCTACCACCACTGTGCGGCGCTCCTCCGCGGCCGCTCAGCGCCTGCTGCAGGCGTGGCTGGAGCAGCTTTCTACACATCAAACCATGCTTGCTGGGCTTCAGAGTGTCTAGCCTAAACCGGCAGGCGAGATTATCACGGGACGGGTGTTCAGATTTGAAGCTTTGAAGCATGCCAAGGTTGAAAGGTTTCTGGGTTGTGGATTTGAGAGGCAGCGCTAGAAAGCATGCTCTAGTCAAGGTCAAGGCAAAGCTGATTGCACATTGGAGCAAGCGCTATCTGCGATGAGGGACACGGTGCTGCATGTTACCGTTTTCTGACTGGCGCTCGCACTTAAGATGGCCGTTTTTTAAAAAGATTGTGCCGGATCAAATCTGGCTCTGTGCTCACCACAAAACTCTGCTAGCGTCAAAGATTGTGCCGGATCAAACCTGGCTCTGTGCTCACCACAAAACTCTGCTAGCGTTGGCTGCTGCTGCCCCTTTCACTCTCGCCCTTGCGGTCGTCGACAAACACGTCAAGCTTGCCCTCGTCGATCTTTGTTTCCTGCTGGGTCGGCTGCTGGGTCCCCCCGACTGAGTCTGAGTCTGCAGGACGCTTCTGCAAGGGCGCAACCGGTGAGTCCAAGTCCAACGAATTTGCCAGGCGCTTCTGCAAGGGTGTAATCGGTGAGTCCAACAAGGTGTGCCTGGGACCATGTTTCTGTAACTTACACACTCAGAGACCTGGAATGAACGTAGAGGCTCAGCCCGCGATCGAGCTTACACTGTTACAAGAATCAACTTGATAAGTATATCTATGTAACTTGACTATAGAACTAAAACCGGAAACATTTGCAGGGATTCACCTAGGAGCGGTGTGCGTCGCAGTCTCTTGACTGGGGCTGGAGTGGTAGGAGCCTCCTTCGTGTCGGGCGTCGTGATGGTTTCCTTTTCCAGGCTGCGCGTCCCCCCGCGCGTGCGGGGAGATGGTGTGCACATTCTCAATCTCTCCATTGCTGGCGTCAGCCCAGTGCTCTGATCTGCGAGATCGGGCGAAGGAAAAGGCGTCCGCCCAGAGGCGCGTTCCGGTGTAGTGAACTTTTGATTGTTCGTACACTGACTCTCCTGCACATCAATCTGCGTTGCGTCCAAGTGGTCGCCCAGCACAAGCGTCGAGCAGTCCGATTTTGCAGGAGACCCATGAATGCTTCCGGGCGAGGACATGGCTCAGGGACAGGTCTTGGGGAGCTGTTTTGCCAAACAACCCCCTCTCCCCCTCCCTCCCCCCTCCCCCTCCCCTCCCCCCTCCCCTCCCCCAAGGAGTGCCGGCCTGACTTGGTGGAATTCCTTCTTTCGACCGCTCAAATTCCTTCAAATTCCTTCAAATTCCTTCAAATTCCCTCTTTTGAACCGTCAAATTCCTTCAAATTCCTTCAAATTCCCTCTTTTGAACAGTCAAATTCCTTCAATTCGGTCAAATTCCAAGCCCCGCGCCCAGAGGTTTGGGTCGTTGCCCCGGCCCCACGCCCGCCAGCCCAGCCCCAAGCCCCAACCCCAGATGAGGCCCCCTTCCCCTCCCCCCTTGTGCCTATACACCCACAAGGAATACTCCTTGTTAGGAGGTGTATGACCAGTTATTCCCTAAGGATCAAAGGGCAGCGCCCTGCACACGGACAGTAGTTGTTTTGTCTTGCTAGGCAAGGAGAGCTTGTCTTGTCTCAATATGGTAAAACCACTGTGAGCCAATGGGCAGCGGAATGTATATGTATGAGCATGCAGCCATTGCTGTAGGTACCTGTTAGAGCTACCCCTTTAGAGGTTTATGGTTTCAAACAGACACTAATTTTCTTTTACCGGAAGCATGGCCGCACATTCACACATATACTATTATGCCCACTGTCACAGTTGCGGAGTCTGGACTCATGATGAAAACAGCATATTATTTAAGCTAGGTATAGCACTGAAGTACACTGCTGAGGACACTCCTTTTGCACACACTCATGCATGTTGGTCAGAGAGATCGTCTGTACAAGATCATGTCTGGTGATATTTTCTACATCGAATTATGCAGCCCTTCACTTTGCTCTTGTTAGAGCTTTGTGAGTCACTGTTGTGAAACTCCGAGATTTTCCTTATCTCAGATTTGGATCCAGGTTTGGATCATAGGCTCGAGCGTAGACGTTCGGATGTGGCTCATCCGGGTCTGAGTGATCTTCTTCGGAACTTGAATAAATTCCGAGTAGTCTGTTCTCAGCCCTGGTGAAGGCGGCGTCTGCAGTATCATATCCATGGTTGGATGTTGTCGCCTTTGGCTCGGCCTTTGGCGCAGCTTGTGAGCTGACTGGAGTTGCCTTGGCTTTAGCCGGTTGTGGCTGCTTAGCCTTTGCCCGTTCAGCCCTTCTTCTTTCAAGCTGTCCGTCTGAGGACGCCCATGATCTTTCACTTTCATCTCCTGAAGGAGATAAGGCGTGGGCATAAAGGCTATTCCAGTACTGTGCTGCAGAAGGAGTTAGGACTTCTTCATTGTCAGATTCTGACTGGTCTTCCTCAGAGCTTTGGTCGTCAAAGAGTGTCTCGAGGACATTTTTGAGATTGTTATTTCTTCGCTCTATCTCTAGTGAGGAATGGACCAATTGGTTAAAGACTGTCCTTGAGTCCTTCAGTGCTGTTAGAAGGATTTCCACTCTGGATAGAGTATCTTGGATGGTGTCAAGATGTTCCTTCCTTTCCTCCTTGTCTCTCTGGATAGAGCTTCGCAATGATTGTGCGATTCTGAGGAGGTCTGTGTATTTCGTAAGAGGCATAGTTACCGTTTGATTGTCATGTATGACAGTTGTTTCGTCGCCGCTTAAGTTCCTGAATAGGACTTCCACGACTGGTAGAAACTCCGTGCTCCACGGTTCCTCTTCATCATATGTTTCTACGTGCTGTAGCACGCGTTGTGTAAACTGATCGGCTGCTTCTACCGTTGCATCGATAGAGCTGACGTGTCTTGCTGCCATGTTTCGGCACGTAATGTTAATTGCCTGGCCTTGATTGGCTTCGTTAAGTGCAGCGTCTGCATAGGTGCAGAGTCCACTGTTGTGGGCTTCTCTGGCTGCCTTTCGTTGAATGCGCCGATTTTGACCTCCTCTTCTGGTAGGACCTTTTGGTCTCGGAGGATCTGAAGGTACTGTTCCTTTCGCCTTTGGCGGAGGACTCTTAGGTGGAGGTGACATGTTTGCCTTGTTAGGCACTGGTGGCATTGCCTTGGGCGCTGACGACGATGCGGCACTTGAGAGTGCAGATGTACCTTTGGCTTTTGCCGAGGATCCCTTGGGGATCGATGTATAGGTAATCTGCATGGCTTCTTCGGCCATTTGTGCATGCAATGCATCTTTGAATAATTGCGTCATATGAGGAGTGGTACTTGCATCATCGTAGGTCTGGAAGCGCTCAATGTCTCTTTCGGTGCCACGTGGACGTGTATCACCTCTTTGAAAAGGATCGTTCCTGCGAATCTCCGCAACTTGTACTGCATGGAGGCAGTTTTTGCACAGCACCTTCCTGCAAACATCTCTTGCTTGCTTGAGCTGGTAACAGCTGTCTGAGAGATGGTAGACTTCGCTTCGGGAAGTATGCCAGATAGGTCGCAGATCAGTTGTTTCTCCGGAATTGACCCTGTTGGGTCCTAAAGGTTCACGCGTCTGCGGTTCATCCTCGGGTTCGAGGAATGGAACTCTTTGGTTCGCTGCTGCTTTTGATTTTGGTTGTTGGCGCTCCATACATCTGATAGGAGGCCTGGTAATCTGCTTCCACATCCAGTGTAAGCCCATTAGCAGCAGAAACACATTCCACGCGATGCTGAAGACGGAGAAGTCCTGCTCACTGGTTAGTGAGTTTGGAAGTGAAGTTTCATCAGTCTTGATAGACTCTGCGTTCGCTCCACCTTGGTTGCGGTGTCCGAACCAGCCCGACAACCCCGCTGCTGTAGCAGCTGTTCTGAGTGCCTTGCCGCTCGGAGCAGACGGTGGACGCGATGCCTTCCTTCTTCTCCTCCGGCTGGAGGATTCGTCCTCTTGTTCCTCTTCATCTCTCTGAGCAGACATCAAGTTTGATGTTTCTCTTTCGTGTTCTTCGATGTCACTTTTTGTTGGTGACGGTTCCTCTTCTAGTCCATCCAGCTCTTCCAAAGACATGTTGAGCTTGTCAACAATATTGGTTCTTTGAGGCCTGGACCTTGATCTTGGTAGATCTTGTTGTGAAGAGGACGATGATTCCTGGTTCCTTCTTGGAGGAGGACCTTCAGGCTCGCTGGGACGTTCAGGCTGTGGCCATTCCCAGAATCTTCCGTATCTGTGATGGCTACCTGATGGTTGCGATCTGTCGTACCAGCTGTTGCCGGATGAGTAAACGAATGAATCTTTGTAACCCCAGTATTCAGCATTACGCTGCTTGAAAGCCTTTCGCTTGTCAGCGATCTTCTGAACCTGGGCATCTGACCGGTTGTGTTTCCCTTTTGTAAGGATTGGTTGTATCGTGAAGCCCAAAGGGCTGTGCCAATCTTTGTCAGAGGGACTCAACCATAGGTCAAGGTTAGAAAAAGTTGAATAGTACTGCTTGACTGAGACAAACAGACGGATATCAATATCCCTGTTATTGTTCATGTCCTGCCACATATCTGAGATTCGCTCCCAGTATGTTCTTTCGGCGGCAGGTGTAACATCTCTTGGACTAGGTGACGCCGTGTGCGGCGTTTTACTCCAGTCAAGGATATAACTGTTGATACAGTCAAGGTCAGCAACTTTCTTCGCCGGGTCCGCCGGTAGACGATCTGCACGTGCCAGTCTGTGCTGGTCGGAGTTGTTCAAGCAAAGATGTCGCACTTGTGAGTGCCTTCCTGCTATTTTGTTGAATGCTGCAAGTTTCTTCTCCAGGTATAGAGAAAACAAACTGTTTCGCGGGTGAACGTCTCCACCTTTTAAGGTGAGCCTCGACGCAATATTATTGAGATCTCCCGCTATTACATCCGGTTTAAAAGGGAGAATCTCGTTGAGGAACGCGTTCACCAGTTCGCGTCTCTGTTCTTCCTTATGAGTCATGAATGAGTTGAAATGGACGATCGCGATGGTGATGACCTTGTAAGGCCCTTTTGTACACCACATCTCGTCAAGATCGTTCGATGCTTCTTGTGAGAAGATCTCTGCGTATGACTCAAAGTCTTCCTCTGGTGGCTCATCACCCTCGACATGGCCGTTCCATTCACAGAGAACCGGCGAGGGGTCGAGGTTCGACAGTGTCAGGCACGCCTCTGGTGAGAGGTAAGAGCCATCAGTGGGTCCATCCTTGTCAGGATTTTTGCCCTTGAGTGGGTCATATCCGATAATCTGCATGAACTCGTCTCTCGTCATCCTTTGGCCAGAATATGGGTGGACCCATTCTTTTGCCTCCTGGATGGTACTGTGGTACCCAAAGGTGAGGCGGCATACCGCACCGTGGCATGCCCACAGTCGCTTCTTGGGACCACCATTCTTAGGCTTCATTGTTCGATGACGGTAAAAGTGGTGGACGAGAGCGATGTCTGTTGTTGGGTCACCCTTGACTCCAATATACATCGAGGGTGCCTCAGGCTCCTTGGGAGGAGAATGGATTAGCATCCCCCTGTATTCATGTTGTCGCATGGTTGCGATCGAATACTCTGACGCAAGTGCTCCTGCCTCGAGTACGAGGGTAATATGAGCTGAATTGTTGAAGCACATGTCAATAAGAGGGTGATAATCGAATCCCTTCTCAGGTTTGAGCTTCTTTTTGGGATTCCCTGCGGGCACCGGCGCTCGATCCATATTTCCCCAGTTGAATACCACTAGGTTTAGCGATACGCTGTCTGGGTTTGAGCCTTCAATGTATTCTCTCTTCTCGTTAACACCGGCCATCCTATTGCGAACTATCTCGTAATGTGCGTCGAGCACCAGTTTGTCTTCGTAGCCAGTAAGAGAGAGAAAAGAAGCCGGGTGGCTTGTTCTAGAGTCCTTGATATTGATGTGACTCTTGTTAATGCTCTTGTATTCCTCCAGGGTTGGAGCCTCTGTGGAGCTGTCATACGTATTCGGAGGATTGTTCCTAATATCATCAAGGCTGCATGGATCAACGCCTGGATGGTCCTTCTCGAACAGATTTCTTGCGTGGTCGCAATACATGTTGATTTTCTGGACTGCCAAATCTACGTCCTCATGTGTGAGGATGGC